TGACTAACGGAGATGGCCGATATTTTCATGAGTGTTTGCGTCCCGTATACATACGGTGCTGACAGTGGGCCCTCATACGGTTGGGGTGTAGAAAATGGCATGGTTCAGCGAAGCTGGGAATTATAATGGCATATCTCCGATTAGACGATTTGCAATAGCGTTTCTCAAAAGTTGAAGAATTGCAATGGCCTTTTTCAAAAAAAATCTAAAACTTACAGGTCGTCAACTTTCTCACTGACAATGAGATGGTCGCTACTGCTGCCCAAAAAAATCTCTGTGCCTCAGTCCTGGCCATTGGCCCCTGCGACCCATCCTTGCTGAACTGGCAACAATCACTCAAGGAATGCAACATTTAATCATCAAGGTTAGAAGGGAAACAAATAAAGTTGCCGATAAGCTCTCAAAGCAGGCTAGGCAAGCAAGTGTTACAAGCTCTTGTCTGTATTCCTGTGAAGCGTTTACACACTCTCGTCCTTGTAATGTGCAACAGGCACTTCAGACACTTCAGAACTTTCAACGGGGAATGTTTCGCCCCATCTCTGTACTATGTTTATAACTAGTAATAAATATCCTTTACCTTTTAAAAAAAACATGCTGTAATATAGACGGGCCGAGCAAGCCTTCTTTTGGTATTTGCAGGCCCAATCTCTGATTTCATGGCATCTGAAGTAGGCAAGTTTTCTCAAAAAAAAATCTGAAGTAGGCAAGTAGCTCCAAAATGCTGACTGCTGTGCATGTGCGTGCACAAGCATGCAGGCCGCTTGGTGCGTGCCCGTCGCCGTTAAGGCTTCGTTTGGGAATCCCAAACTACGGGGACAACCCGGTCTTTTTCCTGGGCGTGCCCCCCACGCGGAATTCAGGCACAGGGGATTCAACCCCAGCGTTTGGAAGGGCACACAAGGGGCCAGCGCTGCCCCAACCCCGGACGTTTCCGTGGGCGCTGCTCCCCGACCTTGGACGTCCCCTGCCTCGCCGTGCGAGCAAGCGCTGCGCTCACGACTAAGGTTGGCACAGCACGGACCAAGAAGAATATAGTATTCGGGAGATGTGGGCCTGGTTCAGAACTGTCGTTTCGGGCGTGTCCCCAGTGGCGGAGCTTACATGAATGTGTAGGGGGTTAATTTAAAGGTACACTGCTACAATATTACCACTAATGGTATAGACAATTGGAATTCTGTGGAAAATCTTTGTTTTTTCAAGTTCTATCTATATAGACTGCAATGAACAATTGAAATTCTGTTAAAGAAGAATGAATAATGTGCATTTACATACTTATAAGCTGTGATCTACTCATCAGCAACAGCAAGCATGGTACGAGAGAGGCAGGAATTAATTGCATGCATGCAGCGACATGCAAACCTCCAGAGTGATACAGCCGAAGCAAGGGGGGCCAGGACCCAGTTTGGCCCCCACGTAGCTCCGTTTGTGCCTGGCCCTGCAGGACCACGCCGCCGGGTGACGCGGCAACACGTCCGCGAACAACCTATCCGCCACGTCCGCGTGTGGCTCCTATCCGTCACCTCCCCATAACATAACACCTGCTAACCGTGTCAGCTCCCTCCCTCCTCTGCCAGATGAGTTCGGAGCGTGTAGCGTGAGTACGAAGTGTGTGAGTTATGCACGTCTAAATTGTACCCGATAAACAAATATATACCATATACGTATAAGTAGAGAAAAACAAGAGATTCGTAAAGTGTAAGCTCAACCTCATTTAATGACTTGTGAGTTTTGACACAACCCTAAGCGCGAAAGTTTGATAATTGGCCGGCTTCAAACTTGAGGTTCAGCCTTATTATTAGCAAATAAAAAAGGATCGATGGCAAGCATATGGGAGAGGCAGCTCAGGCTATGGTAGGACCATAATAGCCGCTGTCAAGTTTGTCCACCACCAGCGCTAGCTTTGGGGGTGGCCTCGCTCCCACGTAAGGATGAAAACGGAAAGAAAATATTCCGAATTGAACTGTATTGTTTTCTACATTTGACCCGAGCGAATTCGTATTTTCGTACAAAATACGGAATACTAAATTCAAATTTGAAATACAGAATACTAAATTCGAAATCGGATCGAATTCGGTTTAGGCTTTGTTCGATCGATTTCTAGTTTTCTATATTTTATTCGGAGTCTTCCATATTCTAAATTCGGTTTGAATCGAATTTGGTCCAGCAAGCAAAGGTACAACTTTTAGACGAGTGCTCACCGTGCAGTCGTAGCGAGGCGAAGGAGCTGCGGAGGTGGTGCCGGTATGGTGGAGGAGCTGTGGTGGTGGTTGGCCGCACCAATGGCGACAGCCGTGGTGAACAGAGGCGGCGGCGGTGCTGCTGGCTTGGCGCGGAAGGGGCACGGGACGCGGATAAGAATAGGGCGGGGCGAGGAAAGGCCATGCGGAGGTACAGAGGCGTCGTGCGGAATTTTTGTCCGGTTCGGAGCTCGTCGTATGCGGAGGCGGAACGGAACCCGAGGGCGGTCAAATTTGTCCGTAGCTATGGCGAGGATGAAAGAGAGAGGTGCTGGAATCGTGTTTCGTGCCCGGGGCGATTTTGTTTTGCGCGGGCGGGGAGCAGAGGCGCGGCGCGCGCGCTTGCAAAAGTCGAGCGGCGGCGGCGTGTGTGCGTGACGAGAGGGAGAGGAAGGGGATGGGGCTGACGGGCAGGGCCCGCGTGTAAGTGAGAGCATGAGGGAGCTGAGTGGGAGGTGGTCGGCGTGGGCTTTAGCCCATACGGAAGGAAGGGGGCTGGGCTGGAAACTAGCCCAAGGGAGATCTATTCTTTTAATCATTTGTGTTGTAAATAAATTTTGAAAACTTGTAGGACAATAACAAGGAGGGGGAAGAGGACGCTGAGGAGGACAATGAGGAAGAAAAAGACATAGAAAGTGATCCTGACATCATGGATGATGCTAATAAACTGTAGTCGTTCATGTTTTGTTAATTGCTTGTTCTAGACTTGTTATGTATTTGGTTGTACACTTGTTTAATGCTATGCACTTGAACTAGATTATACACTTGTTAGTTGTGAACTTGTTATATATTTGGTCGTGCATTTGTTTAATGCTATGCACTGTGGGTCGGTATTTCGTATTGAAATTTCGCATACCGACCGTGTTCGACATAATTCCGCTCGAATTGGTTTGTTTCCAAAATTCTAGATATTCCGTAAGTTCATGTTTGTTTTCGTGTCCGGCTTGTCCGCTTTCGCTTTCGCTTTCGTATTTCAAATGTAAAAATAGAAAACGATTGAGAAATTTTTCGATCGAGTTCGACCGTTTTCATCGTTACTCCCACGACGAGCTTCTCGGCAGAGCGCTTGGCATGGGCTTCACGACTTGCTCCGACGGCACTTAATCTACGTCCAAAATGGGAGTTGGGCCGCACGGCCACCACCACGTAGCAGGCCACGCGGAGCGAGCAGTGCAGGGAACAAGTTTCAGCGGTGGAGGATGCCACATCCACGTTTGAGAGAGCGACAACAGCGGAGGAGAACGTAATCAGGTTGAAATCGAGTGGAACCAGTAGGGACACGGTGGAGAGATTGCGAGAATATAGAGGTTGTTTGGTTCCCGTCTTCATATGCCACGTCATATATATATATATATATATATATATATATATATATATATATATATATATATATATATATATATATATATATATATATATAATGTTACTAATGTGTTTATAAAATAAGGTTTTTTCATTCATTCTCATATGCCACTTTGAGTTATTAATTATTATATATATAATTCATGAGATTATAAAATAATTTTTCTATGTGATTTACTATAACATTATAGTAAATATCCTCATAACTGTTATAATTTACACAAACTATCGTAAATATGTATTCACTTTATAACTATAAATTATTATTTATAAAATTATTATAAAAATTAGAGGTGACTATAGAATTCTTCTATGGCCATTGAGAATAACTTATTCGCATATATATATATATATATATATATATATATATATATATATATATATATTATATGGCTACCCCAACCAATTTGTCTCGTGCTTAGTTGGTGAGTAAGATACGGTGGCCAAATGTAGGCAAAAAGTAAAAGCTTCAATTCAGGAATCTCGCCATAGTCTCTGGCGCCAAATTTGGACGCCATAATATGTCGCCGCCGCTGCTGTGCTGTAGCAAATCAAGGCTGGTGTCTAAACAACCCCATAATGCGATTGCGCCAGACAGTACGAAGATGAAGACACGCATGTGAAGTGGAGATAGATTTTTTTATTTCATCTCACAGGCAGAAAGGCAGGAGCTGGATCCACTTTAATTAATACCCTGAAGTGGTCTTAGAACAAGTACATAATGATCTTATAGCCAAGCAAATACTAACGTGGATATGAGAAAAGGAGGGAGCTTAGCTCTCATGCAAACAACAACACATGACACGCGAGCCTATGCAGTAGTGGCTCACAGATCAAGTGAATGTTATGAATACGAGGAGAATTAGGAAAAAAATGTGAGTAAAACTAGCATAAAAAGTTTCTTATAGACAAATAAGAGGCTATTATTGTATAATTTGGTTTCTTACAACTTAGCTAATAAGTCAAATGAGAGGGGTTTTTTTAGACAACTGACCTTAGGTGGGACCTACCTTAAGGCTGGGAGGCTGCTAGCAGGAATTTTCTGTGTGCTGAGTTAAACCACTCTTTGATTGGATGATCTCACTAAAAGACAAAGTCAAGTCTGATTGTTTGCTGGACGGCCTTTGGCACCTCGAGATTCGAGCGATGCTCCCGTGCTCCGTTTTTTTTTTCCTTTGTGAAGGAAAGAACCAAAGCCCAGAGGGACGAATCGCCACGTCCGCCACAGTCAAACCACTCTCCAACTGCAGGAGATTAGCAGAGCTAAGCTGCCCCAAACAGAACCGTCACAAAAAATAAAAAGAGAGGACTCGACGAAAATTTCGCAGCCATAGGCCCCGCTCCCCCCGGGCGCAGATCTTTTCTCGCTCCCCTCTCCCCGCCGATCACGCCGGCGGCACGATGGCGACCTCCGGCGCGCCGGGTCCCGACGACCACGACCACGACCACGGGCACGGCCGCCTCGCGTCGTCCCTGACGGCGCGCTACTCGGACTGGGTGCTGGAGGCGCTGGACGAGCTCCCGGGGAGCTTCCTGCTCACGGACCCCGCCCTCCCCGGCCACCCCATCGTGTACGCCTCCGGGGGCCTCGCCGCGCTCACCGGCTACGCGCCGCGCGACGTGCTGGGCCGCAACGCACGCCTCTTCCAGGGCGCCGCCACCGACCGCGCCGCCGTCGCCGGCGTGCGCGAGGCCGTCCGCACGCACCGCGCGCACCAGGCCGCCCTCCTCAACTACCGCCGCGACGGCGCCCCGCACTGGGTCCTGCTCCACCTCGCCCCCGTCTTCCACGCCCGCGACGGCACCCTGCTCCACTTCCTCGCCGTGCAGGTGCCCATCGCGCCCGCTGCTGCCACGCGCGGGGCGACGTGCCACGCGCCGGGGCCGTTGCTCGCCGCGTGCCGCGACGAGGCCAGGGTCCGAGAGGATCTCCCCTGCGCCACACACGCGGGGAAGGTGTTTGTCGATATGGACAAGAGAGGTCAGTGTGCCTGCCTGTGTAGTACTCCTAGTATGTTGCACTAGTAAATTACCCATTCTGCTCGATTTTCCCTTGAGTTTCAAACATTAATTGCAAGTGAGTTCAATTAAAGCCCTTTGTTGCCTTGTTCCTAAAGCTGAACGTATGTTCCAAGATTGACCTGCATAAGACTAACTGCTCATGAAATCGTCCCTGGTCGATTAGTTGGTTACTTGGTTTGCCAATTCAGCTATCGTAATTATAGTTGCACTACTCTCATTTGTGGGCATGGACAGACAAACCGCTGAATAAGTAGGCGTAGTGGTAGATTACTCAGAGAGTTAAGTACTCCCGTGTTTTAACACCTGGTCTTGGTTCGAAGTCTGTTAATCATGGTTATACACTTATACTGGGCCTGTTTTCCCCAATGTGGACCATGAAGAGTTGCACGCACAAATACATATATGTGGTACCGCTTTCCTTAGGTGGTGGTTACATGATTCCTACCCCCCCAGATTAGGACAAATCACATTTATGCGATTTCCTGACTGAAGATTCAGTAGCCTGCAGTAGTTTACAAGTCTCCGTAAACTTTATTGTGTTTACCTTAGTATATCAATTTAAGCTGGGGTCTCATTTTAATGTTTTCACCCTCACACAAGTATGGAACGAAACATAAGTGAACCAAGTTGTGAGTATCTTGTTGCTAGTTTGCTGTTGCAGGGCTGGAGGCCGAGGAACCACGTGTAGCTAGTGACCGTGAGAAAGAGATGGCAACAAGTACGGCTAACAACATTGTCTCTGCGCTGAACCGCTACAGCAAGCTAACTGGTCTAGTGGTCAGCAGCAAAAGATGCTGCTCTATTGGCATCCCAGCACTCAGTTCGTCGTTAAACCTCTCTCTCGGTAGAATCAAACAAAGCTTTGTATTGTGAGTTGTTTGGATATCTTGTCCATTATTTTGTTGCCTTGTATTATTTTGTGCTCAAAACATTGTATCTGACTCTATTCATGTGTGCTTCATTATTAAATTTACCATTTTGAACTGATCACAGGACTGACTCCCGCTTGCCTGACATGCCAATTATTTATGCTAGTGATGCTTTTACATCATTAACAGGTAGTTGTTCTTTGACTATTAGTACCAGAGTATGCATTCTAACAACTTTTTGAAGTATGTAATATGTGCAACTTCTGATATATTACTGTTATCTTTTATATATTGTTTTCACTTGATCAAGTTACTCAAACTGATTGTATATACTTGGTGCATGCGTACATAAAACTCATGTCTTTTGGGATTATCATGTGAAAGAAAGAACAAATTTTCACCCCCTGCAACAGACAGAATCCTGGCATGGTTTTTATTTAAGGTGGGGGTATGGGCTACATTTTTAATTTCTTTCTATAAATGATGTAAAAATACAATTTGAAACCTCTGTTTTTGGTGATGTTATTGTGTCGACAGACTTATTAATGCACTTTTCGCGTACACCTAACACAGTTTTAATGTAAGTTGTTTAGAGACGATACATTTCTTTCTTTGGTAGTTGTGTATGCTAGTAGTTGTGGTTCCTTTGAGTGATGTTTATTTTGGTTAAATCTTGCCTATGTTGCCAACTTGACATCGGTCCATTACTCTGGTGGCTATACTTTAGATTTCACTAGGATAGTATTTTTTTTTTTCAGGCAGGACTTATGTTGCTCTTAAACTTTAACTTCTCCAGGTTACTCAAGAGAAGAAATATTGGGCTGTAACTGCAAAGTCTTAAACGGTCCAGGCACTAGCTTGGAGGTTTTAGAGGAGGTGCGGACCAGGATTAAATAGCTTGTATGACCACATTCCCCATAATATTGCTTACTTTTAAAATTTCTATTCAAAATTGGACGTACAGATAAATCAGCATATTTGTTCTGAGCAGGCATGCACAGTGGATCTACTAAGTTACAGGTGCGTTCATGCATGTTTGTACTGGTAGCTAACAGGTCAGCTTGTGGAAAGAACTTGACAGAAGTTTTATTGCCTCTACTTTCTATCAGGAAAGATGGAAGTTCATACTGTGATCTTCTACATGTATCTCCTATCCGAGATGCTTCTGGCAAGGTTCGCTTACATCTTTCTCAGGTCTTTCCTGAAAGAAGCTGTTTATCAGATGAATTAATAAACAATTACTGCACAATTTCTATGTCCGTGTACAATGAAGCTCTTAAGTGAATAGATTTGCAGTTTGCTATCAGTCAGACATTCTGCTCTTGCAGTACAAATGGCATGGGAATTTTTTTCGACTGACTTCATAACCATGCAGGTCGCCTTTCATATCTGGGTTCACCTTGACATGGGTGCAAAGCACGATTTTAATGGGTTGGCCCCCGAGGTATGGCTGCTTGGTGCTGTTGGTGCGGTCAGAGTTGCTGTGAGAGGTTTGTCAGCGTCAGGTAGCCTGTTGAGACCATCCCATAGCAGTTAGCCTCCTTGCCATTTCATGACACGTCGACTGGCCTTCCAATGTACATTGCTGCTTGCTATTGAATGTAAAGTAACTGCTTAGCATAACAAAGAAAATGAGTGCATTTTGAAGGAAAATTCATGGTAAATACACGATGTTGTTGTGATTATGTAACCATGTGGAATGAAAGAAAAGAAAATGGAAGCTGCAGAAATTCTCCGATTCCATAGTTAGTTTTCATTTACCCAATTACTTGAATTGGTTCGTTTGACAGAGACTGCAATTCCGTAGTTAATTTCCATGTACCCAATTACTTGAATTGATTCGTTTGACACAGAATGCATTAAGCTGAACTGTGGCGCAGTTTTGACCTCACAACTTTTGTGGCCAGTGATAGTTGACTGTTCATGCACAGTGCAGTAGTAAGTTTGGGTGTAAATGAGAGGAGAATTTCATTTGTCTGGAACTGAACTTTCGAAGTCCACAGAATTATATTTTTATTAGGAATTTTGACGTCACAAACTTTTGTGGCCAGTTGATAGCTGACTGTTCATGTGCGCGTTCGGCTGGTACTGGCTTGTTTCAGCTTCAGCTTATTCTCTCTCACATAATACTATTGAATCATCCCGAACCATCCAAAATCTACTGTTTAGTCCACCAGCGGAACACTCATTTGTCTGGAGCTGAACTTCCGAAGTTCACAGAATTTGATTTTTATCTGGAATGTACTCCTATGATTATGACGGCATTGGAGGCTATATTGTCGTACCCGGCCCGTCTGAAAATGACCTGCCCTGCATCTGTATCTGTATATGTAGGCTGCCAGGCTTCAACAATGACAGCCTAATCTTATCTATAAAACTCTTGTGTCCGATACACTGGCACGAGCCACGAGTCTAGCCGTCCGCAGCCGTATTCATACGTACGTGAAGGTTCGGACATTTGTGGTAGCTCACCACATCACTGTCAGCAACTGACACGTGATATACTAGTACTAGTAGTACTAATAGCCGTTAGGCCAAGCTAGCTAAACCTTCTGCCACCTCTTAGCTCGCTTCATATCGATGCTTCGTATGAAACGAAAGGCTCTAGAGATGAGGACGCCGAGATATTTCGTTAGGCCAAACAACGTCGTGCTCGCGCGCCCGCCGCCGACCGACGAGCTAGGTAGCTGCCGCGAACTCACCCAAGTGGACGCACGAGCGAACAGCCTCGGCGCCGCCGTCTCTGTCGCGCGTAGTACATACGTCCGGCGAGCCGTGGTGGGGAGGTCATGGGTGCAAGGAGTTTGTCTCGCCGGAACGGACGCACGACGCCGCGGTTTGCACCACAGAAACGTACCCGAGGTCACGATCCTGGGGTGGATCGCTGCCGCCGAGGACGGACGCCACGGCGAGATCGCTAGCTAGCTGTTCCGTCCGAGGTGCGTCCGGCCAGGCACGCCCGCCCGGTCGCCGTCCAGGTGACGGTAACGTTTTCTTTTTCTTGACCGGCCGATGCTAACGTTCTAATGTTGTGGAGAGCAGAAGTCGTAGCATTAATTGGGCACCGTTGGAGACGGTAGAACGTACGCCTAGGGACCTTGCTAGCGTGAATTTTTATATGAGGCCCGACAAAATGGTAGATAGCCTGGTAGACGCGACCGCTTGTGCGATTCCGCAGCAGCACAGTGACACGAGTGAGCGAGCTAGAAAACCTACGACCGCGGCCTTGTTTAGATTGCTTTAGAGTTTCAAGTTTTTTCACTCTCTCAGTCACATCAAATTTAGGGACACATGCATACAGCAGTAAATGTAGATAAAAAAAATAACTAATTACATAGTTTGATAGTAAATTACGAGACGAATCTTTTGAGCTGGTTAATTCCATGATTGAACAATAATTGTCAAAATCTGAACGAAAATATTCACAGTCACCAATTTTTCTAACTCTTGCGATCTAAACAAGGCCCTACCTTACCTTACCTGTCGAGCTGTAACTAGCCAGCGCGCGAATGTCGTCGTCACACTCACACACTCCAGCGCACCCCTGCCGCCGAGGGAGCAAACAGTCCGCCCGTTGTCCTGCACGTGCAATCTCTACCGGAGAAGCAACGGCATACATGTGCGACGTGACCGTGACATCCGCCGAGTGCGTACAAGCCGACGAGCCACGATAGGCACCGGCTGGCTAACCTCTCGATCGATCGACCAGCCGTCGTCAGGACTCAGGGTCAGGCCGGCAGGCCGGCCGGCCGACGGGGACGGAACACGAAGGAGCCGGGAAAACGGCCAGCCGGCCGCGTGATTGGCGGCTCCAGTTGGCGCGTCACGTACGGTCGCAGCGCGCCGCCGCCGCCTGCTGCCCGCCTAGGACTGGACTGGGAGGAGTCTGCGACGTCGTGGCGGGCTCGGTGTCGCTGCTGCCTGCCCGTGCCCTGCCAGGGCAGGGTCGCGACTCGCGCGTCCCAGGTGGCACGCTTGGGTTGCGCTACATGCGTCCTGCTGGATATGCACGAATGGGAGATGGCGGTCCAAAATTTGTATACGTTTGGTTTGATGACAACATGGATAGGGTGGTCAGGTATATGAAATATTCTCCGATTATGCTGAATGAAGCTGCCATAAAAAAAACTTGTGGGTAAACTTATCCATGTGACCATGTTGCATGCTCTGTTGCTCACGTGGCAGCAACAATTAATGGTTGCATGCAACCTTCAAACAATTTTATCTCCTACAAACCATTTATAGCATTTTGTGATACGATAACATCGCAGTATCCATTTTATTTAAATCTACAAAATAAGATATCACATAATTATGTTTTGGCAAAAAAAAAAAGACTAGTGGTTCCCTATGACATAATTGGCGTGGCTATGCTCATCCATCCAACCAACACAGAAAAATAACTAGCCCCGCCTCGTCGCGCCCAGCAGATATTCATTCAACAAAACAGAAAAAATAGCCTGTTCCATCCATCTAACCTAACATGAAGCATGGATAAGAATATCTAACAATCCATGGATACACATATCCCATCCAACCTTGTTTTCAACCAAGCACACATTATACTAGCCCACAGGGGATGAGACTTGAGATTCTCTTCGTGCTCTTCACCTAATCTTCTTGCCTAGATAGAACTCAGAACGTGAATATGAGAAACGATAGTTCTCTCCTGAAATACAAGGGACCGAGTCAAAATATAGGAAGCTTGATTACATTTTAGATACATTATGACATAGGATTATATTTGGTATGGTAAAAATTGATAGTCTTCTCTTTGACTTTATTTAGACATATAACATATTGACTTAGGATAAATTAAATTTGGATCCCTGCTTCAGAAGAAGCAAGTGAGTAGTAGTTTAGTTAGGTGGTGTTTAAATTCAGGGAGTAAAGTTTAAGAATGTCACATCGGATGTCAAATGGGGGGTGTCGCATGAGGTGTTCGGATACTAATAAAAAATAAATTACAGAATCCGTCAGTAATCCGCGAGACGAATTTATTAAGCCTAATTAATCCATCATTAGTACATGTTTACTGTAGCACCACATTGTCAAATCATGGACTAATTAGGCTTAAAAAATTCGTCTCGCAAATTAGTCGTAATCTGTGCAGTTAGTTATTTTTTAGTCTATATTTAATACTCCATGTATATGTCCAAACATCCGATGTGATAGGGAGTAAACTTTAGGAGGAGGAATTAAACAAGGCCTTAGTCGAAAAAGTTGTGTTAGGGCTTGTGCTAACAAGGGAATTTCTTGCTATCACATGAGAGCCGCCAATCCAGCTCACCAAGACTAGCTGGTCAGTCAAAAGCAAAGCTTGTCGCAAAAATGAACTGTCCCAAAAGCTGTCTCGTCCCTAATTTTTTATAATTTAGCCTTTTTTAAAAATAAATTTACGTTTTTTCCCCAGGAGGCGTAAACTCATCTTTTGACTCTAGGGTTTGCCACGCCAGTAATATCTGTCGTCTGAAATTTTTCGTCCGTGCATGAGGACACACGTAGCAAGCCGGAAGGGTCTGTTCGATGGAGCTATAGATCCGCCTAGCTTCAGCGCAGGGATAGTCGATCCTGCGCACTCCTCCCGAGACGTGCCAGTCAATTTGACCCTGTAATTGACAAGGAGAGAAAGTTTATCAGTAATTAAGTGCGGAACATGCCGGTGTTGCCAGACAGTTCCGAATGTGCGGCTCAGAGAGCCGATATGAAAGAAGATCGACTAAACAGTCGATTCCAGCATATTCGTGAGAATAAATCGGTTAAAACTCATTGGTTGTGTAAGAAGAATCGGTTATCATTCAAGATAAATGTCGTTTTTTGAACAAATATTAATCAATGGCAATAAGATGTCAACAATGATTGATTTATGCTAAGCCGATGATTACAAGTAACCGAACCCCTTTTTATATAAGGAAACAATTCAACATCATTTAACCGTTTAATAAAGATAAATCTAATGAACATGTTAGATCTCATCTATCGCTATGACCAGTAGGGCATGAGGCAGAATCATGCAGGCCGTGGAAATAACAATAGACTCGACGACCCTAACTCGTTACTAATATCAGTGGGGCATGAGGTAGAATCATGCAGGTCGTAATACAATAATAAGATCATAGGGCTAACACATCTTTCAACGTATCTTTACTTCAACGCGATGTCATGATGCGAAGCTGTTCATGAAAGCACTTTCGATATCGGCTAAAATAAATTGATTCGCATAGCGCATGATTAAAGTCATGCCTTATCGAGAATAGATCTACCAAATAACGATCCCCACTCCACGGTGCTAACGGTGGGGTGTGAAAGCGAAATCACACATGCCGTGATAACGGGACATGGAACGGTTTTCACTAGTCAATAAATCTACTCAAGGCGCAACATGCTTTAACCGCACGCTATGCACGATCAAGATTGATGTAAAAGCAGATCGATAAAACGTAACTCATCGTTTAATGTGTAGATTAGATCGATTTGATTAACAAACGATGGGCTAAACAAGATATAAGGCCGATCTAGATCAATCTCAATCGGACGAGTGATATTCTTTGTAATTAGATAAATAATGAAAGCAATAAGCAACATCGGTAACAATGAATCTACCAAAGACCGTCATTACGAGGTAGAGCCGATAACTTGACCTTGATCTAGTTCATGCATGCAGTGAAACCGGATCAATGCAACCACTTGAACTAGGCAAGAATCGATAACTAACTTATACGTAGTCGCGGTGGAAGTCGTCGGATCGATGTCTTTGCATTTGCGAGGAGTATAAGTTATGGCGGTACTTACAACAAGCAAGCGTGGAGGTTGATCGGATCGATCACGGCCGTACTTTCTTTGAGAACTCACGAGATCTACTCTACTCCTACTCCTAAGGGGTGGTCGGAGCCAAAAAAGTAAATGACTTGTTTATTGGATTGATTGTGTGTCTTTTACAATAGTCGGGGTTTGATATTTATCCCCGGGACCCGCGTATGATTCCTGTCTAAGCACGACTCATCACAATTTTTGACCCTAGAGAAAACATTCCTAATTTTAGATAACTTGGACTCTAATCTTTCCCTTTTTGTAGAGTCCAACATGTCTCGTTCTGGCGTCGATCGTAGCCTTCGTCGTTATCCGCTGACGCTATCTGAAGAAAGCCGATTCCAGTTCTGCATTCGAATCAGCTGGTTCCGATCTGCACGCAATTGATTCCTTGACGACATGATCTTGGGAGCTTTCGAGTCCCCGTGACTCTTCTTCCAAATTTTGGTGTAAACACATGCCCCCCAATTTTGGGATAAAAGTAATTTTATTCCAAAATTATCACGTCTGAATCCCTGATAGGTCCATAGTCACGGGCAGAGAATCTTGAGCT